GGGGAGGAGGGGGAGTTTTAGTTTAAACATTAAAATCTAGTTGTGTCTGAATTTCTGTGGCTTTTCCTTTCGTCCTCATTACATAATGTTAGGAACCACCATTGTTCAAATGTCTGGCACCGAGTCCTGGCACCAAAAATAGAAACCACTCAAATGTCTCACCCCTGGTGAGAAAAAAAAAAAAAAAAAAAAAAACACCCAAAAATACACCCACACCAAGAAAAAAAAAAGATATTTCTCTTCTTCTTTGTTGCACAAGCACTGACACTGTTAGAACAGCAGATTCACAGAGTAGAGTTAGGAGTAGAGTAGTTTAGAATAGAAATTAGGAGTTCTCTGGTCTTAAAAAAAAAAAAAAAAAAAAAAATATCGATATATATGCAAAAAAATGAACTATAAAAATATTCTTTTGAATAATATATATATTATATTCCAATGACAGTGAAATCCATTATGTTGTAAGAGAAAATTCAAATTATTATATTATTATTAATAATAAGCATTTTATAATTATTTTATTTAATATTTAATATTTATTTATTGATTTTTTTTTTTATTCCTTCATGGTGGTTTTCATGTCTTTGGTGCCGAGGGCTGGGCTGCCAAAGAACACGACCCCCGGGTCTGCAGGTCCGCGGGGGAAGTGGGAGGAGGATTGATGAAAAAACCTGATTTGGTTTTTCCCTCCCACCAAAGAAATATATTTCAGTTACGTGTTAGGGCCGGACCCTGCATTCTCCCGATGGTCAACTGAAGAAACGCGTCTTCCCTGCTGACCGGTGGACCAGAACCAGCGCTGACGCCGTCTGTGAGTACCTCTGCCTGTTGTATTGTGGCTGACTGAACAGTTTCAGACAGTACCATGGCCGTACCAGAGTACGACGTGAAGGGCGGCAGCATCGTCAGGGAGTGGAGTGGACAGGTCCAGCCCGCTCTCGTCGCCTCCTTCGTCTTCCTGTTCTGCCTGGAGGCCTGTCTGTGGGTCAGGAACCTCAGACAGAAGAGGAGACTGCCGGGACCCTTCGCCTGGCCCGTGGTGGGCAACGCCATGCAGCTGGGCCAGACGCCTCACACCACCTTCGCCAGGCTGGCCAAGAAGTACGGCAGCGTGTACCAGATAAGACTGGGCCGCAGCGACATCGTGGTCCTGAACGGGGACAAGGCGATCCGTCAGGCTCTGATTGAACACAGCACGGAGTTTGCAGGCAGACCCAACTTTATCTCCTTCCAGAGCGTTGGAGGAGGGAAGAGCATGACTTTCACCACCTACAGCAAACAGTGGAAGATGCACAGGAAAATTGCTCAATCAACAATCAGAGCCTTCTCGTCTGCCAACAGCCAGACCAAGGCAGCATTTGAGCAACAAATTGTGGCTGAAGCCGCAGAGCTCGTTGAGATTTTCCTAAAACTCAGCGCCGGCGGCCAATATTTCAACCCTGGCCATGAGCTGACGGTGGCCGCGGCCAACGCGATTTGCGCCCTGTGCTTTGGGAAACGTTACGGGCATAACGACGCCGAGTTCCGAGCCCTGTTGGAGAAGGTGGATCAGTTCGGGCAGACGGTGGGAGCCGGCAGCCTGGTGGACGTCATGCCGTGGCTCCAGTCTTTTCCCAATCCGGTTCGCAGCGTCTTTGAGAATTTTAAAACCGTGAACCGGGAGTTCTTCTCCTTCATCCAGAGCAAAGTGAAGGAGCACAGAGAGACGTTTGATCCAGAGGTGACGAGGGACATGAGTGACGCCATCATTGGTATTATTGACCGGGGCGATGACAGAGAGGGTCTCACCCCCGACCACACTGAGGGGACGGTGTCAGATCTGATCGGAGCTGGTCTGGATACGGTCTCCGCTGCACTTAGCTGGATGACTCTCCTTCTGGTCAAGTACCCGGAGATCCAAACCAGACTCCACACGCTCATGGACCAGGTGGTCGGTCCAGAGAGGCTGCCCTCCATGCAGGACAGAGACAACCTGGCGTATCTGGACGCCTTCATCTACGAGACCATGCGCTTCACCAGCTTCGTCCCGGTCACCATCCCCCACTGCACCACCTCGGACGTCACCGTGGATGGCCTCCGCATTCCCAAAGAAACGGTGGTTTTCATCAACCAGTGGTCCGTCAATCATGACCCCCTGAAGTGGAAGGACCCCCACCTGTTTGACCCCTCGCGCTTCCTGGATGAGAACGGCTCCCTTGACAAGGACGTCACCAGCAGAGTTATGATCTTCTCACTGGGGAAGAGGAGATGCATCGGGGACCAGGTGGCCAAGGTTGAGATATTTCTGTTCCTCAGCGTTCTGATCCACCAGTGCAGTTTGGAGAAACGCCCCGGTGAAGACCTGTCCTTGAACAGTTTGTACAGTTTAACTCTGAGGCCTCTGGATTACAAGGTCACCGCCAGACTGAGGGGGAGGCAGCTGAAGGTCAAACAATCAGCTGTTTAAACTCGTCAGGTTTTGTGTAAATATTCATGTATTGACATTTACAACGACTATATGAATATGTATCACGTAGTACTGTAGACAAGAGCACGTTAAAAAAAAAGTCTGGATGTGGGTAATTAACACCTAAGTGGGGGTCAAACTTTGGTTCACGGGCCACGTACAACCTAATTAGATGTCAAGTGGGATTAGTTCAATCATAAAATAATTTACTATAAAAAGTAAATTTTTCTCATTTATTTTTACGCAACTAAGTATTATTAGATATTTGGATGTCAAGTGGGATTAGTTCAATCATAGCATAATTTACTATAAAAATCAATAAGTAAATTTATTTTTATTTTAAATTTTTTTTAATTAAATTTACCTTTATTTTATGCAATTAAGTATTATTAGATATTTAGTATTATTATTTATATTTAATGAAATTTAATTTTACAATTTTTATTTTCAAGATTCATCAAGCGGGCCGAATTGAACACCACGGTGGGCCGGTTCTGGTCCGCGGGCCATATGTTTGACACCCCCTGTACTATAAACTATGCATGTAAACTATGTTTATACTATATATCAGAGGTCACCAACTATATTTGTCAGGACAGAAACCTCGGAGGCCGGAGATTCAAATAAAATGAAGTAAAAATCAAAAATGTTTTTGTCTAAAGTTATTATTTGATGTTTATTTTGGAATTCAGTCGTGGGCCGGAATGGATGGTTTGATGGGCCTGGATTTTACCCACGGACCACCAGTTGGTGATCACAGCTTTACACTCCTGTACACTTCTGGCTTCCTCTCTGCTGCGAAGGTCTAAATAATGATGTTTTACCTTGAAACCATAACTGTCTCTGTGATTTAAGACCTCTCTTCTTTACAGCGTGATCAAAAGAACGTTAGCCTAAAATGTACGTTTTGTACCGATTTACGTGTCAGTCCATGGAAAGTATCCGCCAGTACTTTTTTTTTACACAGTCAACGGAGGTCAAAGAGATATAAATAGACCTCTGTCTGGTCTGGGAGATGTTGTAAAAGTTTAATACGGGTTTTTAGATCTCGCACGCTTCCGTTACACACGCCTCGTGAGTAGAATGTGACCAGTTCCATCAGTCCCACGTGGGCTGTACTTCTGTCTGTGTGTACTTTTACTCCTGGACCACATTCACATTCCAACTGAACGGACACGCATCGTCGGAGACAACGTCACGTCTGATCAAAGGTCCATCCAATCACACTGCACCGTACTACCACCTCCCCCCCCCGAACCTTCCTGCGGGTGGTGAGTCCACTGGAAGGTACCAACCACTCAAACTGAAGGTGAACCCTGGGCCATTGCCTCTGGGCCAAAGCACCACTTCTGATGAAAGGTGGTGAATTTCAAAAGTTGTCGCACGATGGCGTCAGACAAGGCTAACTTAGCTTAAAAGTACCGGAGTGCTTTGTTGAACACGGTATCAGCGGTGGGATCACACGAGGCCGCGTTCCTACTATGTAGATAATCACCACATGTATACATATATAAACATATATATATTATATATGTAAATATATATGTTTATATATGTATATACTTTAGATAAATACTACAAACATATACACATAAATACAGTATATACAAAAATAAACATATTTATATACATATATACATATATAATATATAGAGATATGTATGTGTATATACTGTATTTATATGTGTATATACATTTACATATGTTTATACATACATTTACATAATCACCACATATAAACATATATAAATATATATGTATATATGTATTTATATTCAGTATACACATGCATATTTACATATATAAATATATATATATATATATACACATGTATATACATACAC